TATCCACAGAGTCAGAGCCTTGGAGCAATTGTTGGTACAGCAGAGAAAAGCTGTCCAGCATCTATGCAAAGAGCAGAGCCTGTAGAGGTTAAAATCCCCTGCTCTGTGTGCCAGAACCTTCATCTGCATATCCCAAATCCCATCTGGGAGTGCCATCCACAGCACAGACCTCATCTGCACAGTCTGCTGGGCAGGGGCTGTGGGTAAATCCCACGTCTGCAGGAGAGCAGTTGCTGTGTTTGAGCACGAGAGTCAGCCCTGGCTCGAGAAGAAAGGCTGAGCTCAGCCCACGTGATGGGGATAATCAAACCCTGATGTTTGTGAAGTTCTTTGAGCTCTGCAGTTGCAGATGCAATTTACTTCTTCATGCTCTTGTTCTGCAGCCATTTAGCTGCAGTAAATTGAGCTCCCATTTCTGGGTTTCCCGTTTTGTTCCCTCTTCTCTTGGTTGTACCCCGTGTAGTTCAAAGGTGCCACTGGCCACCTCCTGAAGAGTTACCAGCTGCAAACAGTGCTAACGTGGCTGGAAATAAAAATGTCACTCAGAGCATGTGTTTGCTTCCAGATGCTGCGTTTCTTGCACGAGAGAAGGCCAGAGCTGATGCTGAGTGTTACACTGCAATGAAGGTGGCTGAGGCCAACAAGGTACTGTGCTTTCCTTTGTGGTGCCTCAGAGCAGGGCCCCTGGCACCAGGCTGAAGGGAAATAGCAGCACAAGGGCAGGCAGTGATCCTTGTTTACGTCAAAAAGCAAAACAAGGCCATCTCCTCTCAGCAAAGCTTTCATCTGAAACAATTAGTCAACAATTAGATCCTTATTTGCAAGTTCATCTTGTTCTCTGGATGGATCAGTGTCAGGGAATGTGAAATCTCTGCTCTGCCAGGTGCTCAGGGGCCGTGGCTCTCTGTGGAATATCACTTTCAGTGCTAGTTTCACACTGTTGTGATGAGAAATGTGGTTTCATTCCAGTCTCAAGTTGGCAGGCAGGCAGAGCAGGGAGATCTCCAGGGTCACAGGCAGGGGCAGAATAAACCACAGTGCAGGGAAAGAACTGATCTCAGACACCCTAGAAGAGCCTCAGTACTGCGAAGTAAAAACAACAAAAAATCCAACCTGGAAACGGAAAAATGGCATGGATGGAATGACCAGGTGTGCTCCTGATACAGCAAGCTCCCAGCACATCCCAGCAGGAAGTTTCAGTTGTGTGGTGGTCAGTGAGAAGGGGCAGAGGGCCCAGGTTTTGTCCTCTCTGTTACAATGTCGTTGTCCTGAAGGAGCAAGCTCCTCTCAGGCAGACACGCTGGTGGATGTGCTCCCTGGAGAGAGCCAGGGATGTTTCCCTCCTCACCAGCTCTCCTTGCAGGGGCTGCAGTGAGGGATGTGCTCTCAAGCCTCTCCATCACTCTTGGACTGAGCCTTTCCCCAGCTGCTCCCTCCCCTTTCCATTGTGCCATTTAGTCCCTGGGTTCTGGAGTGCCCTCACCCTGCTGGAGGAGAGCCTGGCTCTCTGTGTTTTCCCTGGGGAGGGCTGGCCATGCCTGCTGGGCTCGTGGAAAGCGTGTGCCTGGTGTGCTCAGGCAGGAATTCCCTTTTCCCAAGCCCGGGCTGTTGTGACCTGTTTTCTCTCCGTGCAGCTCAAGCTAACTCCTGAGTACTTGCAGCTGATGAAGTACAAGGCAATTGCAGCCAACAGCAAGATCTACTTTGGCAAAGATATTCCCAACATGTTCATGGACTCTGCAGGGAGCCAGAGCAAATCTGCAGAGGGACTGGCAGAAGGAATCCAAGAGGAGGACGGGGCAGGAACCAGTGAGGACACAAAACTACTTCATAACATCAACTGAAAAGAAAGATTTCTATTCATTTTATATCAAAAAATCATGAACTGGGAAATTCCTTTTAGTTTTCCCCCTTTCCTGTGCTGAAAGAGATGAATCAGATTTAATCCTTTCAATCTTTTATATGACAATTAGACACAAGGACTTTGGTATTTATGGGGTGGGTTTTCTGGTAATTTCTAAGCCCCAGGTATGTTCTGTAGCTGCTCTTGGTCACCCAGACCAAGGATTTGGGAGAGGCTGTCATGGCTATCAGCTGGGTGGGAACCTAATTTGGGATTGAGGTGGTTCATAGCAGCTGCAGGTAAAGAAATGTTGAGGTTTTGGAGGGAGGGGATTTGCTGCTACAACTTGTTTTGGGTTTTTTTCTTACTGAAAATTCCAAGTACTTTATTTCAATCCCCTCTGAAACTAAGGTGCTAGATTTTGTACATTACATACAGATGGCTGCTCAAGGCTGGGGCCAGTGGCTGCTGAGCCCACATGAGGTGACCCCATGAGGGACAGAGGCTCAGCTGGGGTCCTGCAGGTTCCCACCCCTGGGGGGATCGAAGCCTTAGACCACATCACACAGGGAGAAACACAAACTCTTCATTTTCTGTGTCCTGACTCTGCTTTGTTTTCCATTTGTCATGTTTTTGTGGTGGAATTGTCCCAGCAGTTCAGCTGCTGGGGGAGGGCATGGGCAGCATCCTGGAGTGCAGAGCTGGGTGGGATCTTCAGTGAAACGATGCAAATTGTCACAGAAAACCAGGGAGGAAAGAATTTTTGTCTCAGGGACCCTGACTTTACAAAAGGCCTTGCTGGGGAGGAGCTGCTGGAGCGAGCAGACAGCTTTTCAGTTTATCTGCTCTGTGGGAGCAGCTGGATCTCAGTGTTTACAGTGTGTGACTAGAAAAAGGAGCTTCAGGTGAGCACAGCTGAGCTCCTGTGGGACTGGGGCTGAATGGACCTCGTGGAAGGAACACTTCCCACTGGCCAAGGACAAACCATGGTCCTGAAAGGCCACGGGGCAGAGACAAGCAGCTCTTCCTGACTACCCAAAGATGGATTCCCCTTTTTCTCTCAGAACAGTGTTCCAGAATGTACCTTCCCCTCTAGAGAGGGAACAGAGCTTTCTTCTCCACACACGCAAAATTGGAGGATAAAAGTCCAGGCCTAGAGAGAACTTTTTTTTTTCCTCCCTAATCCATCTGCATTTGGCAGCAGAGCCTGGTGATTAATTGCTGATGTAATTAGAGGCCAGTATCCTCTTCTGAGATGATGCCAGTGCTTGTCAGAGACCAGCCTGGTGCATTCACAGGCTCCTGCCCAAATTCTTGCTCCCCAGTACCCCTGGTCTCACCCTTCAGTGTTCAAACCTTCATCACTGTGTTGCTCTGAGAGAGCTCAGTGAATCACTCCAGTACAGCAGTTTTTTCTTCCCTGTTGATGCTTGAAAATGCAAAATAGAAATGAAACATCAGCTTCTGCTGGAGCAAAGTCCCATCCTTTTTGTATTTCTTAGAAAATAGGAGCTAAGGGAAGTCCCATCTGCAGACCTACATCAGACCCAACAGCATCCCCAGGGAGGCTGTGCTGTTCCTAAATATTCATAAATAGGTCTGTGCAGGCTATAACAGGGAATAGCAGAAGTTTTTAGCCATGAGGATGAGCTCACTTGAGATTGTTCTACGTTTGTGCTCGAGGTTTCCATCAGCAACTAACACCTCCTTTTACACAAGTATTTTTCACTAATGAAAGGACCCTACTAAGCCAAAGTGGTATTATAAAGGCTTTTTTTTTATGTGTGATTTCACAGCAAGATAATAGCTTGGGATAAAGAGCTCTTAATGATTTTTTTTTTTAATTAAAACCCTAACTGCTAAAGTATTAATGTAATTTAGTTAAGTTGTACTAAGAGTAAAAAAAGAAAAGCGAAGTTGAGAGTGTGTCAGTGTTCATAAGCCAAAATCTGTTGTTGTGTCTTCATTCAGGTTTCTTCACACTAAAATGTCCTGAATGTTCCAGAGTGGATTGGTCTCTCCATGTAAACCTTTATTCCTCTGTCTCTGACAGGCAAATTGTCCTGTTTCTCTAACCTTGAGGTGAAGATCTGAACTTTAAACCCACTCTGTAGCAAAGGGAGCAGATTTGTGGCACTGCTGATTCCTGGGAGCATGAAAATGCTCTGCCAGTGCAGTCCTTGATCTTCTTATGTACTGAATTCAAAGCCTTTTTATTTTGGTATTTGCTATGACAATAAAATGGCCTTCAATTTTAGAATCTCCCAGTGTTCCCATCGGGGTTTGTGGGTGGACTTCAGTCCCAGGGGTGGATGTGTTTGCAGGGGAGGATTTTGCAGAGGGAAGGTCGAGGTGGGACTGGGGGGCTGTGGGGTGCTGGGGGTCGGTGCTGTGCCCCTGCACGGGCTGCTTCTCCCTTTCCAGTGAGGAGGAGGAAGGTGGAAGAAGGGTGGGAGGAATCCCACGTCTGTCAGCGCCTGCTTTGCTACAGAACGACCAAAAAACAGACCGGAGCAGCAAACACCTCGGATTTGGTGAAGTTTGCAGAAAATCCTTGTCGTGTTTTACCAGACAAAGGGCAGGAACCTTCTGGGTGTTTTCAGCCAGCTGTGTAAACACGGAATCTGCAGAGGGACGGTGAAGTTCTGCACGTTAGGACAAATATTTGAGTTAATGTGCTGCAGCCGGCGCTCTCCCACTCTGCCCCGGGAGCTGCCCCATAAAGCCGGGACTTGTGCCGGCCCCTGCAGCTGCCGTCGGGCTCTGGCCGCGCTCCAAGCTCTCCCTCACCTCAGACGGGGCCTGCCGGAGCAGCCCCGTTCCCTGCCTTGCTTTCACGCCGCTTTTCCCCTCAGTAATTGGAATTCACACCCTCGGCAGGCCGCTCATGCAGGGATAACAACATCATTTGTGGCGCTGGGCGTGGAGGGTGGCCGGCACCGGAACAGCCGGGTGGGCTGCTGGCAGCGCTCGCTGCGGTGACTGAGGGCACGGAATGATTTGGATTTGTCACCGAACCCAGGCGAGGGGACAAGCGGGGAGCCCCGGGCGGACTCCGCTCCCCCGGGGCCGCCATGGCGCCCGCGACCTTCCCAACATGGCGGCGCCGCGCCCCGCCCCGCCGCTCCCATTGGTCGGCGGCGCTGGAGAGAGCGATCCGATTGGCGGAGAGCGGGGGCGGGGCGGGTGTGTGGCGGAAGTGGCGGCGGGGGGCGGGGATGTGGAGAGCGGGCATGGCCGCCGGGGACGGGCTGGGCCCGGCGCTCCGCGCCGTCACCGAGCAGGTGCAGCAGGCGGCGGCGCGGCGGCCGCAGGTGAGGGGGACACGGGGGACAACCCGGCGGGACCCTCGGGGCGGGGGCGCTGCCACGGCGACAGGCCTCCGTCACCACAGGGACGGGCCCGCGCTGAGGGTTACCGGTGACCGTGGGGACAGTGCCACCGGGACGGGTCCCATCATGGGGACCATCACCGGTGACTGTGGGCACAGACCCGCAGTGCCCCAGAGCCACCACCGCGGATGTGGGTGTGCAAACCCCCCAGCAGGGGAGCGGGCCCCGCTGTCGCGACAGAGCTCCCTCCTGCTCCGCACTCCCGACAGGGCCGGGCCCCTTGGTTCCCCCGCAGCCCGGGGCTCTCCGGGGCTGGGCTGGCTCCCCGTGCTCACCCCCGTGCTCCCGCAGGGGCTCCCGGCCGTGCAGCCGCGGCTCGTGGCCGTCAGCAAGACCAAGCCGGCAGAGATGGTGATGGAGGCCTACAGCCACGGGCAGCGCAGCTTCGGGGAGAACTACGTGAGTGGGGGGCTGGGAGGGGCAGGGGGCTGGGACAGGGTCAGCAGGGCTGGGACAGGGTCAGGGAGCTGGGACAGGGTCAGCGGGGATGGGACAGGGTCAGCAGGGATGGGACAGGGTCAGCGGGGATGAGACAGGGTCAGCGGGGATGAGACAGGGTCAGGGAGCTGGGACAGGGTCAGCGGGGCTGGGACAGGGTCAGGGGGCTGGGACAGGGTCAGCAGGGATGGGACAGGGTCAGCGGGGATGAGACAGGGTCAGCGGGGATGAGACAGGGTCAGGGAGCTGGGACAGGGTCAGCGGGCTGGGACAGGTCAGGGGGCTGGGACAGGGGCAGGGGGACAGGGTCAGGGAGCTGGGACAGGGTCAGCAGAGATGGGACAGGGTCAGGGGTTGGGACAGGGTCAACAGGGATGGGGCAGGGTCAGGGGGACAGGGTCAGCAGAGATGGGACAGGGTCAGGGGTTGGGACAGGGTCAACAGGGATGGGGCAGGGTCAGGGGGCTGGGACAGGGTCAGGGGGCTGGGACAGGGCCCCTGCAGAGGACACAGGATCCCAAAATCATTCGAAGGCCTCCAAGGACATCAAGTCCAAGCTGTGCCTGATCCCCACCTCGTCACCCAGCCCAGAGCACTGAGTGCCACCTCCTGAGTCCTTCCTTGGACACCTCCAGGGTGGGGACTCCAACCCCTCTCTGGACAGCCATTCCAACGTTCAACAACCCTTTCCATGAAGAAATTCCTCCTGAGGGCTTGGGACAGCCCTGTTTGGGTGGCTCTGTGGGTGACACATCATTCCCTGGCCTCGTGGTTTTGAGGCTCAGGTTGCCCCAAGATCACACATCCCAAGGACACCATTCCTCTGCCTGCTGTGGGTTTAACAGAATTTAATTCTCCTTCTTTCTCCCAGGTTCAGGAGCTGCTGGAAAAGGCATCAGACTCCAGGGTAAGCACACAGTTCCCTTCATGCTTTCTTACCATGTATAGCTGTGTCCTAGGGGCTATTCAAAGTCCTGGGGTTTGTTAGGGGTTTGGTTGGATCCTTATCTCTGCAGATAAATGGTGGGTTATTCTTGGCTCACTGCCTCTGCCCTGTTCCCCCTCCTGCCTGGCTGGCTCCAGAGGAGTTTGGGAATACATCTGCCTTAGTCATGATTTGTCTGCACTGTGTTCTGCCTTTTGTGCTCTCTTTAGGAGAAGCACAGTCCTTGTTGAAAAAAACAAAAACATTAGCACTCAGTTTGGGGGAAATATAATTTTATGACTGTTGCACAAGAGCTTTGCCTTTGCTGTTCCCATGGACAGCATTCCCTGCAGCCACAAACCCATCCCTCTCAGGCTCAACCTCAGCACAACCACAGGCTGAGTCTTCAGGGTCAGCAAACAAAGAAATTGGGTGTCTGGTATTTGGTTGTGGGCAAACTAAGACTGAAGTGCTGCGTGGGGGAAGAGGGAGTTGTTGTTCCAACCTGAGTGTTCCCTCTGCTTTCAGATTCTCTCATCCTGTCCAGACATCAAGTGGCATTTCATTGGCCACCTGCAGAAGAACAATGTCAACAAGCTGATCGGTAGGTCCTGCTTGCTTTGATGTGGGCAGTGGTCTTCCAGTGCTCAGATGTGTCAGGGAGGGTCAGGATTTCAGGGAAAGGTTCTTCCCCCAGAGGGTGCTGGCACTGCCCAGGGAATTGACACAGCCCTGAAAGCTCCAGGAGGGTTTGGACAGCACTCCCAGGGATGCTCAGGGTGGGATTGTTGGGGTGTCTGGGCAGGAGCAGGAGTTGGACTCAGCCATCCTTGGGATCCAGCTCAAGATATTCCCTGAAACAATCCCCATGAACTCCCCAAGGGCTGTTGGAGGTACAAACAATCCCGTGCCAGCAGAATTCCCTCAGGCTGTGTTCTCTCCCCAGCTGTCCCAAACCTGTTCATGTTGGAAACAGTGGATTCTGTGAAACTGGCAGACAGAGTCAACAGCTCGTGGCAGAAAAAAGGATCATCCCAGAAGCTGAAGGTCATGGTGCAAGTTAACACCAGCGGGGAGGACAGTGAGTGGCTCTTTGTGACATGTGCAGGGCTTGACAGGGAACTGGGATGAGCTGGGCTGGTTTGTGCTCTGAAAGCAGAGCTGGGCACTGATCTCCCTGTGCTTTTGCAGGCAAGCATGGCCTTGCCCCCGGGGACACCACGGCTGCTGTGGAGCACGTCATCAACAAGTGCCCCAGCCTGGAATTCGTGGGGCTGATGACCATCGGCAGCATCGGGCATGACCTCAGCAAGGGGCCAAATCCTGACTTCCAGGTAAGGTTTTCTCAGAGAAAATGTCACTGTGGGCTGGTTTCCTGGCACAGTTTGTCTGTCCCAGTCAAACCAGTGCGAGTCAGGCTGTCAGGAGGTAGGGACACCTTGTGCAGAGCCCTCAGTACCGGTGTCAGTGCAGGTGTGAGGCTTCTTTCTGCAGGGTGTTGCTCCCACCCATCCTCTGAAGCTGCAGCCAGGATTTTGGCAGGGCAGCAGTTGCTGTGCTGAAGCCCCAGGTGAGGTTTGAGCCTCCTGTGTGTTGTCAGTAAATCTGGGAAACCTCCAGATACTGTTACAGTGCTTCTGTGAGAAGTGTGGGAGTTTCAGGTCCTGTGTGGAGGAAACATCAGGGACAGGCAGGAACCAGGCTCTGTGGCACTCTGGAACGGAGCTGGCGTGGCTGTGCAGGTGTGTGACCTCTCCTGTCCCCTGGTGCCCTGCAGGTGCTGCTGTCCCTGCGGCAGGAGGTGTGTGAGAAGCTGAACCTGCCCCTGGACAAGGTGGAGCTGAGCATGGGCATGTCCACGGACTTCCAGCACGCAGTAAGTGTGTGTCTGCCCCTTCCCTGGGGGAACAAACATGCCTGCACCCCAGATTCCAGCCCAGGTGCCACCCAAACCCAAGGCTTCCCCTTGGGTGAAGATCCCAGTGCAGCTCTCCTGATCCTGGGGGAGATGCCTGGGATCAAAGCAGCCCCCGGGTGTAGCTGTGGGTGCTGAGTCTGTGAGGAACCATCCTGTGGGAGCCCAGGTTGGGCTGTGGGGTGTGGCAGCCCAGCCCTGAGCTGGGGTGGTGGCAGCCCTGCCCTGAGCTGCTCCTCTCTGTCTCTCCCAGATAGAGGTTGGATCCACAAACGTCAGGATTGGGAGCACTATTTTTGGAGAGAGGGATTATTCCAACAAGGCCCCCGCTGGGGGTGGAGGCCAGACAGAGGCTGTGACAGTGCAGGGGCACTAGAGGGAAGACAAGTGGCCTCAGCACAGGAGAGACCTCGCCGTGGGAGACCTCACTATGCATTTTTACCTCCCTCCATGTCGGCACCCATCGTGATGGTGAGAGGGAATTCCTCGGAGCAGAGGCCAGAATGCCTCGTGATCATTGTGATTATAGAGTACCCCTAGAAACTGGAGATCTTTGTAACCAACAAGGAATTCGAGGGTTGGAAGTGGCTGTGGTGTCTTGGTTCCTCAGGGTCATCAAGGACAGAGACTTTGGGGTAACTGGGCTGGACAAACAGGTGTTTGTCAGGCTGGAGTTGTTGCTGAGCAAGGTGGGTGTCACTGCAGCAGTGCTGGTGGTTGTTTTTGCTGAGGACTAAACGCTTCATTCAACACATTATGATTGCCAGAAACCTGTAAATGTTTCCCCAAGTACAAGTTTTGCACGTGGGATGGTTACACAGGAGCTGGGATGGGGCACAGGAGAGGCCTTGGCCATGGGAAGGGGTGAGTGACAGGCACAGGGGACTGTGAGGAGCTCAGCTGCCACTGTGAGTTCATGGTGTGAGGCTTTGGCTGCGCATGACAAGTGTGGGAGTGTCTTTTCAGCTCAATTTTGTCCTTTTCAGCTGACATTAACTTTTCCCATGGCTCCGTGGCTGCCCAGATCTGGAATGCTTTCCTCCCTTCCCTTCCTTTCCCCTCCTCAGTTGTTGGGAATTATTTTCATCCTGCCTTGTAGTTTTGCTGCTGTTTTTTGGTCAGAATGGGGGTTTTCTGCCAGGCCTCTGCTCTGCCACCAGCTTGCTGCTGCTTTCCAAGGTTTGGTGCCTGTGCCATCCCCTTTACACATGTGTGAGGATAAAAGTGCTTGGCTCAGGGCAGCAGGGAGCTTTCCTTGGGAAAATACTTCAGAAAATGAAGTTTTATTATCCCACTGCATTCTGGCTTCCTAAAAAAAAAATCATTTGGCCACTGAGAGAGCTTCTAGGCTTAACATCCTCTCCTGCTTTTGGAAGAGGGAAATGGTACTGTCACTGCAGTAACTTTCCTCCAGGTGTGAGCAGAAGCTCCTGCCTTGTCCTGTGTTGTTTGGCCGGTCTCACAACCCGTGTCACAGCTGATTTTTGGGCTTTTGTGTCTGCTGAGAGGAGGGGAGCTCGGCTGCCAGCAGGAACATCCTCCCCAGGCTTTGCTCTGTGTGCGTGTGGTTAAATCTCGCTGTTGGTTTCACTCTCCAAAAGCTGAATGTAAATGAAAAGAGAACTCCACCTCCAACCTGTCGTAGCTCCGTGGTTTAGAAGCGCCGGGGGTCGGGGCCGCCCCCCTCGCGCTGCTCCGTGTGTGGTTCATCGTCTAGTAATAAACAGTGCTCCGTTCAATGCCATCTGTGCCAGCTCAAAAGCTATTAAAGATGTTATTTTTATCTTCCAGCCTGGTGAATGAATGCCCTGAGCTGCTCTTGGAGCTGGGGTGCGGAGAGGAGCGTGGTTGAAAGGCAGCTGAGACGGGGCTGGCGGAGAAAGCGCGGCGGGTTTTGATCGGGATGGTCCAAAAGCCGCTGTGGCTCCGGGCCGAGCTGTCGCGTGTCGCGAGCTGTCCCCGCAGGAGCCCCTGGGTGTCGCTGCCGGCCCGGGCACGGGGCCCGGGCCCCAAAGTCGCCCTGTGCCCACCTGGCTCAGGTGCGGAGCCCCTGCTGAGGCCGTCAGGGGGCTTGGGGGGCTCCCTGCGCGGGGCTGTGGCAGAGCAGCGCGTCTCGGCGGCCCTGGGGATGCGCTTTGCCCAGGACACCTCTCCAGGACACCGCTCTCTGGGCTGCTCCACGTGGCCACCGGGGAGCAGCCTGGATGCTGTGCAGGGACAGCCCGAGCTGGGCTGTGAAAAGGGGCTGGAGAGGAGCGGGGATCTGCGAGAGCTTCTGCTCCTTCCCCTGCAGCTGCTTCTCCCACCCGTGCAGCTTCCAGCTGGCTTTTCTCCTTGTGCCTGGAAGGTTTGCCCCGCTTCCCACGGGTCTGAGCCTCCCCGAGGCCTGAGAGAGGGCGCTGCCCACGGGCACCTCCCGAGGCACCGGCCTGGAGCCCGGGGAATGCGGTGCCGGTGGCACCGGGCACCTGTCGGGGGGTGCGGGGTGCAGACCCCCCACTCCGTCGGCAGAGATCACCCGGCAGATGGGAGCTGCCGGTCACTGGAGTGCAGCCAGCGGGCCGCGGATGAAAGAGCCCTGAAAGAGTCCTGAAACAGTCCCCGGCCTCCGAATGAGCGGCACGGAGCCCCGGCCCCCGCCCCCGGCTGGGTTTGCATCCAGCCGAGCCCCGGCGCGGCAGCTCGGGCTCCCCGCGCTGGCCCTGGCAGGGTTTGCTTTGCCTCCGCTGCCCTCGTGACTTCCAGCGGCCGATGGTGCTGGAATCTGTTGTCCCCTCTGGAGCGAAGGCATGGCCCCAGGATGCCCAGCGGTCCCCTGAGGTCACCCTTGTTCCCTTGGGTGGGGGCTGGACCAGGCTGACCCCCCAGAGCCTCAGCACTTCACATGCTCTGTGGTGAAAAACTTCCTGGGAGGCTTGGCACCAGACCCATGGGCAGAGTTGGCTGATTCTGCGAAGAATAAACCCCCTTGGTGATGCTGCACAGGGTGATTTGCTGCTGCTCTTCCTCCAGCTCCTGGGAAATGAGTCATCCTCACCCTCGGGGAAGCAGCAGGGCCCACGCAGCAGAGATGGGGAGCTGGGGGTCAGCTCCCTGCTGCTGCTGGGTGCTGCCCAGGTGGGAGCTGGGACACCAGAGCAGCTCAGCCCAGGCGGATCCCCCTGCAGCCCTTCAAAGTGGGAAGCGTGTTTATTTCTGGGATATCGGCTTTCCGGCAGGAAGGACGGCCACTGCCAAGGTTTTTATTGGATCCCAGTGAAAGGAACTGAGAGAGTCTCGTGCTTGTTGTCTTGCCCTGTGCCTGCAGTTCAGGAGGTTTTTACCTTCGAGTGGGAGGGAGGGAGGGACACAGGGATTTGGCATTCAGCACCGTGGCGATGGAGTTTCAAACGGGTTGCCTTGTCTCCTGGGCCAGAGGCATCAGGAGGGGTCGGGGCTGGAAAAGCAGAGAGAGGGGCTTGGAAGAAGTTGAAAGAACCTGAACTCTCAGGCTCAAAGCATGTGGAAAGTGTTGCTTGAGCTCCTCTCCTCCAGCGGGGCTGGGGCAGGGTGTTCCACACGTCGCAGTTTGGACAAGGTTCTCACTGTTCTTGGAGGGAGGTTAGAGGCTGAAATTCTGAAGAGGAGGCCCAGAGGTCTGATTGCTTCAGAGTGTCATGGATGCAATTCCAGTGCTGCTACTGGAGCTCCTGGAGATGCAGATTTCTTCATTTCAGGTTCATCCAGTGAAAGGAGGTGGCTGGGCCCGGTACCCTGAGGTGTTTTGGGGTGTCCCTGTGTGGTGCTGTGCTGGGTGTGTTGTGAGTGCCTGAGACAAGGAATCTCCTTTCCCTTGTGGCAATGCCCAGGGAGGGCAGCAGGCTCCAGCCTGGAGGCTCATGCCTGCCCTGGGAGGGAGGGGAGCCCACTCCTGCTCTGTGTAGAGCTGGAAAGGGGGGCCCCACTCACCATGGGGGGCTTTGGGAGGGCTCCCTGACGGGCTGATGCTGGCAGGGTCTCAGGGCGGATGCTGGACACAAACAGCTTCCTGTTGCTCTTCCAGCTTCAGCTGCAGGATCTGGGACCAGCACAGAATCAAGGAATGTTTTCAGTTGGAAGAGACACACAAGGATTGTTGGGCCCAGCTCTTGGTGCTGCACAGGACAGCCCCAGGACGATCCCACCCTGTCCCTGAGAGGCTCCTCGAGCCGGGGGTGTCCTGTGCCAGGACTTGCTCCTGGGGCAGCGACATTCCATGGTGCGGGACAGACCCAGGCAGGGAAAATTCTGCTCAGTGGAAAAAAAGGAAAGAAAGGGAAAAAAAAATAAAAGACGGAAATCCGTGTGGGACACCTTATTGTCTCTTTGACCAGCAGGACGACGCTGGTCTCCAGGGCTCTGGGGTGCCACAGTTGATCCCAAGGGCAGAGGTGGGAGGTCTGTGGGCAGTGGGACTTGGGGCCACAATCCTTGTCCTGCCTGGGGGCACCGGGCTCTTGTGCTCCCGACCGCAGCACACGCGGGAGCAGCCTGGGCTGTGAGCTGAGCAGCTCTCCGCTCCCCGGCGCCCACTGCCGCGGCGGGTTGTATTTATTTGGAGAGAGGAGTAAATTTCTTTTCCCCTCCAGGAACTGTTGGTCCTGGAGAGAAACCGCATTCCCAGCGTCGTCTCGTCGTCCTTCCATGACCCTTTTCCTCCGCTCCCTGGCACGGGGTCCCGCAGACTTCATTGCCGGCTTTTGATCCCTTTTGATTCGGCGCTGAGCGAGCCGTGGCCTCGGAGAAGCCGAGCCCCGGGCGGCCGAGAGGGCTGGAGCCAGGCGAGGGCTGCGGGGATGTGAGAGGGGGGAGAGGGAAGAAAAATATTGAACTTAGTGAGAAAGGCAGTGAAGCAAACAAGGAACCGAGGGGGACGAGTGTTAACTGCAGAGCGGAGGCGGGGAGGGGACAGGGCAGCGTGACCACGGAGTGAACTGTGACAATTTGGGCAGGGGGTCCCCGGTCCCGCAGGCAGTGGGACACCACAGAGCTCCAAAAAAACTCACAAAAAGATCTGCCGGGCCCACGTGTGTGTCACCACCCTCGACACGGCGCCCTGTGCTTGTCACAGCCGGGATGTCGCAGCGAGGCACCGCAGGGTGGCCACACGGACCGCGCGGGCTCTGACCCCGCACGGCTCCAGCTCGGCCCCGGGGTTGGGAGCAGCCGGGGCCCTCCGGGGCTGCCGTGGGACCCGGGCACCGTCGCTCTCGGTCCTGCGGGACCCCACGAGGCTCGAGCTCCTGCCCGCGGGGGTCCCGCTCCGCTCCGTGCGGGTCTCCCCCGCTCCTCCACGCCGGTGCCGTCGGGGGGGCCGAGCCGGTGCCCTCGGCGGGGCCGGGGCGGGCCGGGGCTC